ATTTGGATAACCATGATGAGCATGGTAATGAGCAACATCTGGAGAAGAAACATTATGATTATCACTCATACGATCATTTACAGAATTTACAGAATTTACAGAAGAATTGGAGGTATTATGATTATAATTGAACGAAGTGGGATTTTGAGATGGAGGAGGTGAGTCGAAAGAATGTTGCAAAGGGGGAAGATGTGGTCTCGAATTTAAGGGTATGGAATCTTGTTGAATATGAGGATTAGATTGATGATTTATCGAAGGTAAAGGAAGTTGTATCAATTCTCTTATAGAAGGAAGGGTGATCGAAGAAGCAGGTTGACGATTCGGTAGAAGATCAGCATGACGTAAATTATGTTGGTGCTGTTGTTGCTGTTGCTGAAGAGAATTGTGGTGATGATCCATCGCTGTAACCGGTATATACTTTAAATCTTTTACGTATTCGGAGCTAAGGTGAAAATTGAGTTGATGTTTTCTCGGTTTAGAAGGATCCTCTGACACGAACGTATAGTTACTATTATTGTTTACGCGCTCCTGAGTCATGAAAAAAATAAAATTTACACTTATATAAGGGGAAAAAAAGTACAACTCAAATAATATTAAAAAAATAAAAAATTTTTTAAAAAAATGTAAATTTGGAGGGAATTCGGTCGTATTTATGTTTTTTTTTTGGATTTTTTTTTTTTTTGCTTAGTCTGTACAAAGATTTAGCTTGTACCTCGGAACCCAAAAATCAATCAAATAGTTTTTTTTTTTTTTTTTTTTTGTTTGAAAAAGGGGATGGAATGGGGGTATTTTATAGAAAATCTACAAATGATGGAGCAAGTTTGGTGTAACATAAAATAAGCAATATCAAGGCTTAATTTGGATAGGGGCGTACGGGTGCAATATAAAATAAAGCTGAATTATAATAAGAATTTATTCATTCGGGATACAATTGACACATAAATAGTACAGTAAAATTATGAACAATTAATTAATACAAGTCAGACAAACCGGAGTAAATATAATAATATAAATACATATACAAATATATATACGGAATTCAAAATAGGACAACTTCGGCCCAGTGGATAAATTCTGCCCAATTTAAAAAGGGTGATGCACCGGATTTATGATAAAGTCAAATCTTTGAGCCGCTATGTTAAGTATTTATACGTAGAGTACTCGTTATATAGTTGACACTTTGATTACCTTTTGTGGCAAAGGTTGTGTGAAAAGTTGTTTTGAGTGGGGATACAATTGACCATTTCGAGACGATACACGTATGCACCTGATGTTGCATGAACCTTCACGTTCAAACGTTCATTGGGTAACCCAACAAAGCCGCATATAAATACCACACAAATAGTATTTTTATAAAAAAACTCGCATAATCCAATGAAATCAACGAAAGTATTAAAGTAACGCTCAATCCAACATCGAAGTAAAAACGGGAATATATATAGCGGCAGTATAAATTTTAACCTTACCGAATTTGGGATGACTGGTAACACACAATATGTTGGGATGGCCAGATGATGTGATTGATGAGAAATTCGTTCACAAAAAGGAAGTTCAATAACTTTTACAATTGTAAGGTTTGCATATTGTGCGAACAATTAGTAATTTTAATATAAATCTACGTATTAGGATTATATCTTATAAAACTAATTTCCTTATACATAATTAAAGATTTAATCATAAATTTGTCCGTTTTATTCTCACTCTGATCATATGAATGTTTGAAAGGCTAATTCTCTAATGCATAATATGTACTTATCTTCTTAGGTTTGTCTTTTCGATTCATTTCTTACCTTTATTTTCTCGCTTCTTTACTGCGGATTTCGTGCAGAGGGTGATATTCGACTTTTCTTCTAAAGTCTAAAATTTCATTCTACTATACTAAATTTGAATTTGATTCATTTTATATCTGTTGATGAACTGAGTGACATTTCAAAAGTAGCGTCGATTTGCAAACTTTCAACCCATCCATTATCTTTATGTTCTTCTCTTCTCTCCAAATCTAGCAATCTCATTCAATACCCATTAATCATTAATTACCACAAAATATTTGCCTAATACTTTTACGGTATACGAAAGGTCGTGCCAACTTATTATTGGATGACCATAGCGTAAATCATATGCAAATTCGGGTTTAAGGATCAACAAAAATCTTCCTTCCGTACCATGTCAAATGCACATTTTGATCACACACCTTGTAAACAAATTATATGAATTTGTTAACCCGTAAATGATGAAAGGAGAAAGAAATAAAACACCAAAAGGTTTGATAAGGTCTCTGACGTCTATTTTTATGAGTCGTTGGCTACACAAGTGCCAAGGTTCGGTTACTCAAATATAAACTCTTCTGCTTGTCCGTCTTTAATAAACTTCTTTAAAAAAAAAAAAAAAAAAAAAAAAAAAATTTAATTTCCGGTTTTGTAACTCTTAAAAATAGTTGACTCATTTTATGTTTAAAAAAAAAAGCTTTCTTTAAAAAAAAAACAGTTGCGTGTAAGCTTCCGTCCTTTAACGATAAAACATTGACACATTGTTTACATAAATTTATATTTACTCATCTCATGCTTGTACAAGACTGAAATAAATATTAGTAAATGCATTTTTCTTTCTTTTAAAAAGCTTGTTAAACATGAGTCGTGTTTTCGCTGCATTGCATAAATGTTTATATCATCTTTCGTCCTCTTTTTTTTTTTTTTAGTTTTACAGAGCAATGCAGTGTAACACTTGAAATGTATGCTATGCTGTGCATCATTACTTGTTTATCCCAACCTAAAACTTTATTATTTATATATGAATATAAAGGACGGTTTACTCGCTTTTTTATTCCACTTTTCTGAAATGTTCTAGTCTATATTAATTCGTTTAATAAATCTTTAATTAATTTTATTTTACTTGCAAGCAATTCGAGTAATTCAAATAGCTCAAAGTATCACTTCTTAGTTTTCTGCTTGCAACCTAATAATAATAGAATTATTATAAACTCATTAAACTGTTTAATGATACGCTCCTGTTTAGTTTATAACGTAAAAAATGTTTTATTTCACAATGTAAACCAATATAATTTTATAACTTGTAAAACTAAATTAAGAAAGGCGTGCTTTCCAAAGAGATACATCATGGGTATGTTCATTTTTGGTAGACGCGTTTTGTTTTAATTTCATTTTTACTCAAAATAGGTATAATCTGTATATGAATTATATACTATGAATTATTAACGATGATTTAACGATGATTAGTAAAGAATTCCTGCATATTTTTTCTATTCTTGTTTAATGATATCGCCATCTTTAGCTGAAACTGGCTGCTAAAACAGATTATACTTTAAAAAAAAAAGCTTGGTGATTGTATCTGATCATTACATTATTATATATAATGTATTTTATATAGTAAGGGGATATGCAGGCTCTCCATGTGTATTTTAAAAAAGTTCCCTTAGATAATCTAAACGTATTTTCCTTCAAAACATTTTAAACTGTTCCAGCGGTCCGGTTCATTTACCTAAGTTAGGAAATACAAAGGTCATAGAAGTGTTAAATAATCTCATACTCGATTTTTTTCTAGATGCTATTTATACAACTGATATGAAAACTGATACAACAATTATGAGTTCACATTTTAACAATGTTATAATTAAATCGTAATTGTCATGTTTAAAACCTTTTTTTTTTGTCATACGAAATACATATTAGTATTATACAAATGTCACAAATGGTAAAATTTAGATATCAAAAAAAAAAACCCAACATTATATTAAACATTACAAATGTTGTAAATATTAAACAAATTAATTTTTGTATATTGTTACCAAATCTGTATTTGTCTTTTTGTGTAAATCTCAGAATAGTTTGAATAAATTGTTTCAAAAAAGTTAAAATTTGTCGTTCAAGTTTAATTATGTCTATTACGTATAAATTATATTTATATTAGATATGTTTATCATCTCTGGTGATAGTCACTGTTCATATTGATTTGAATACGTATCGCCGGTAAGCGTAATTACGACATGACAAGCAGGTTAAATGTAAGTACTAATAGTTAGGTTTCATTAGCTGTATAAATATGGGTAATTATTTTTGAACCCGAACCAATTTTATATATGACGTAATAACTTTTTGGTCTGGATTCAAAATAATTACCCTACTGTAGTATATATATATTTAATATTTATACGTATATATAGTATATACTGTATTACAGTATATATATACTATACGTATACGTATATACAGTATATATATATATACAGTATATGTATATATTTATATTTTTATTTTTTGCTTAATAACTGGTTGTTTTTTTATTATAAACTACTATATATATATATAACTATTAATTAAAGTATTTTATAATTTTATATACTCAAAAGCAAAATTATAATAAATTTAAATACTGTATATATACATATACTGTAATTAATCAAAAAATTTTATTTTTTTTAAGGAATTACTAAACTAAATACTATATTAAATATATACTATCTCTTAAACTGTAGACAATTTCAGGCAAATTTGTCTAAAAAATTGCTATAAATTTTCTTATAATTTACTTTTTTTAAAATTTAAAATATTTAAATAAAAATTTTAAAAATAAGAATTATAGTCTGACCTCGTTATAGTCACTCTCAATATATATATATAGTCACAACCTTGTTATAACCACATTATTTTTTGGATCTAGCTATTATAAAACATATAAATTTTGATCTTTATTTAGTCATAATTACCAAAGTTTTGTTTCTTAACCTGGTGATTATAATAAGGTTAGACTATATATATATATATACAGTATATATTAACTTTTTGATAGTCTTGTTAGTACTTTTATTAAAAAACAATAATAATACAAGCAAGTTTATAAACAAATTATCTATATATAGCAAGTCTAATATTATTTAGTCCTTTATATAAATAACCACTAATATAATCTGTTATACTACTTCCTAAAAGATATAAAAGATTTTATCAATCCTATATATTAAGAGCCACTTTTTTTAGATTTTTTTTTTTTTTACTAAAAGCAAAAGAAAGTAAAATACTTATATATATTGTATAGAAGTTTTAAAGTAAAAAAATTAAAAAAAACTACACTAAAAAAAAAACAAATAAAATAAACAAATGAAGAAAAAAAGTGAAATAATAAAATATAAAAAAGAAAAACAAAGAGAAGAGCTTATACAAAGCTAAAACTAAACTAACAAAAAAACAGAAAAAAAATCTTTTAGAAAAAAAAGACCAAAAAAAAAAATATAAATACATTATTATAATCTGTACAAGGTTTATAAAAATTATATAATAACTGTATAATTGTAGGAGGATCCGATTCACTAACTCTTCCCGACGATCACTTGCACCAAAATTTGCTAAAACAAAACTTAAGTTTTTTTCTAAAC